GGATGTCACATAGAGGAGGGAAAAGGTTGTTTTCTGCTGCTCCAGAGAAGCGGACACGGAGCAATGGATCCAAACTACAAGAAAGAAGATTCCACCTAAACATTAGGAAGAACTTCCTGACAGTAAGAGCTGTTCGACAGTGGAATTTGCTGCCAAGGAGTGTGGTGGAGTCTCCTTCTTTGGAGGTCTTTAAACAGAGGCTTGACAACCATATGTCAGGAGTGCTCTGATGGTGTTTCCTGCTGGGCAGGGGGTTGGACTCGATGGCCCTTGTGGTCTCTTCCAACTCTATGATTCTATGATTCTAGGAAGGAAGATGAAGCTTCTAAGTACGGCAGTCCTGCCAGCCAGTTTAATCTGGCCCCTGTGGCAGTTTATTTCCCGGGGTAAAATCCTAAAAAACCTCAACCATTTCAATCCTAAAAAAAGATTAACAACCTTGGTTGGCCCTCACAGCCCTTCACTTCATCAAATCTGGCCCTCTTTGAAAAAAGTTTGGACACCACTAAACTAGGGGGTGCTCACTGTCATAGCGGCTCTCTGGGTGCTTGAGATAGATAGATAGATAGATAGATAGATAGATAGATAGATAGATAGATGTTAGAGTGAGAGCGGAAAAATTGTGGCCCTCCAGATGTTGCTACAACCATGGGCATAGCCAGGATTTATTTTAGGGTAGCAGGCTTTATGCTGGGAGGCAGAATGGAGTTACACAATTGGTCAGTTGGTTAAGTATTTTCATTCATTTACTTGATGTGCGGGGCAGGTGCCTCCCCTTGCCCGCCCCTCCCCCAGCTATGCCCATGGCTACAGCCCCTATAAATACTAATGATTGATTGATCTTGCTGACTGGGGCTGATGGGAGTTGAAGTGCAACAACATCTGGGGAGGCACTAGTAGGAGGGAGAGGGATTGGACACTCAGATAGTGCTAAGTAAGCGTGGAAGGATTTTAAAGTTTAACTCTTGCTATATATGGTGCCTTTAAACAGTTGTATGGCCTGCAAAGATTCAGCAAGTGTGGTTTTCCCTTACATGTCATAGTCCTTGCTGGAGGTCAAATTTCTGCCTGCCACACAGCAGTTAAAACAACACAGCCTCTGGCAGACACAAAAAGTGGAAGCTAGATATATTTCACTCCAAAATTGAAATGATGTCTTATTTTTAATAGCCTCATATGTTTGACAATAAATCAGCTCTTTTCTCCATCTTTCTCTCTCTCTCTCTCTCCTTTTTCCCAGCCCTTAAGGACAAGGGGGGAAATTGCCACATTTGGATTATGAAGTATTAAGTGGAAGCGAGTTGGATGCATCATCATGTCACATTTATATCCCCAACTCTTGAGAAGCCAGTGGGGGAACAAGGGGATAATCTCCACTAATCCCATTATCTGCTTATGAGCAAGAGCAGAGTCTGAGATGGTGCCAGAGTCTTTGGTACCTCTTGGCTCTGCACTTATTTAAATGTACCTTCCATCCTGTTCTGCTGGATGTTCTGTACTTGTGCTGCTTGCATTTGCATGAACTTGTGCTCTAAGATGCCATTTTGTAGTGTCCCCATCCTTCCACCTTAAACCGAAGGTTTAAGGCAAGGACGGAATAACTGTGGCAACAATGGCCATCATCCCTGCCCCTTGCTCATCATGCTGGCTGTGGCTGATGGGAGTTGGAGTCCAACAACATCTGAAGGGCCACAACTTCCCCCTCCCTGGTTAGGGAAAGAATACAGAAGGCTTTTGCTACAGAGCACTCCTTTTTTGGAGCTTCAGTCCTCCCCACTTTAAACCATCTATGCTTGGAATAAATAATGTAAATTCTGTGCATTGCTATTGTTTGATCGGACTGTTTTGTTCCAGTTTCAGCTTTGATATTTCGGCAACAGACCATTTTGGCGAAGTCTGTGGTGGTAAAGAACCATGAGCAAGAAATTCAAGCTAAGCAGGATTCAGCTTCAGGGCATGTTTTTATTACTCAGCTATACATGACTTAATGCCGGTGGTGGGGAATCTCAGGCCAGATGGACAAAAATGACCCTCCACGGCCTCTCTATGGTTAGAGCCATAAACCATGCCAACACTGATCCTAAGAGAACTTGTGTGGTGCTGCCAGAACTGATCCAACACTGATCCTAAGAGAACTTGTGTGGTGCTGCCAGAACTGATCCAACACTGATCCTAAGAGAACTTGTGTGGTGCTGCCATTACATTCCTGGCATATGGGCTGGGGCTTTCTACGGTGCCCCAGCAACACAGGAAGGAGCAACTTTTATGCCACCATTTGCAATGTATGGCTGCCATTGTAATAGGAGGCACCAGCTTTTGCTGTGGAAAGGGTCCAGCTCATTGCCACAGACCAAGTGCTGTTCAGCAAACTGGAGAATTCAGACTTGCTGAACAAGCGTTGACCCATGACTGAGAGATGAAGCACAGGTTGCATCAGGTCACTGGATTTTTACAACAATGGCAGGAGAAACCTCTTTTGGTGCCAAGAGGGAACAAATGTGGAGATGGAATCTAATAGGTACTTGTGCGAGACTGGAAACAGCAGAGTTGGAAATTGGCTGGGTTTCAGCATTTGAGTTTGAACGATCCTCCAACCTCCCATGTGAAATGTAACCAAAGTAACATGATGTGGTAGTTTGCTTATTTCAGTATATTAATACATCTTGGGTCTCTTGACATGCAAGTAAGATCAGGGCCCTGGAAGGATTTAAGTTACTGAAAGGCTGTGCTGGATCTACAAAATTTGCCATAGGGGGCAAAAGTCTGCCCTGCCACTTCCCTCTCCCCAATTCCTTATTGTAAACTTTCATTTTGGGGGGGAGTCCTTTGTTGTGGTGGTGGCAGCACTTAATTGCCACCTGTCAAATGCAACATCATTTTCCAAAGTGTTGCTCAGTGCATTTTTGTTGTGCAGAAGTAGTTCACCATCCAGATCCTGGCACTGGAATAAGAGACATGGGGAGTCTGACGGTGTGTCTCTGGACTACTCCTGGTTCTTGTGCCCCCACCTGGGTGAAAACTGATCTGACTGAACAAATGGCTTCAGTTAATTTAAAGTAGCTCCATGTATTCCCAGGATAAGTGTAGATGGAGACTCTGTAGCTGCTCGATGACTACAGTTCCCACCATCCCTGACAATTGTGCTTGGTAGCTGGGGCTGATGAGAGTTGCCATCCAACAGCAGGTTCTTCATTCCAGGTGTTAAGGGACTGCAACCACTGACAGCCTTTGGGCATCTTTTCTGGGTACCTAGTGTAGGAGAGAGTCAATAGTTCAGTGGCAGGTCATGTTCTTTGCATGGGGATCATATCAATTTCAATCCCAGGCATCTCCAGCAATAAAGAAAAAAGGAAAGAAGGATTAGGCACATAAGAAGGCAAGAAGAGCCTGGCTGCTGGATCAAGCCAGTGGCCCCTTGAGTCCAACAGCCTACTGCCGCAGTGGACAACCAGATGACCAAAATGGGAAGACCACAAGCAGGAATGAGGGAGCACAGTGAACTCTCTCTCCACTTGTGATTCCCAGGAACTGATATTCAGAGGCACACCCCCCTCCGACAGTGGTAGTAGAACATAGTCTTCATTGGTTGTAGCATGTACTGGGGAAGAGTCTTTGTCTGAATCACTACAAAGCTCTTCCCAGTCAGAATAGCCTATAGTGGGAGAGGCGCACAAATTGTCTGACCGGCTATGAGAAAACTCCTTAATAGCTGATGTTCAAAGAACAATTTGTCATTTTCCCAGTTTCTGTGTAACCTGTGTGTGTGTGTATTATATAATTTTATATATACGACAAGAGCACCGTTGCCTTTAGGTGAACATTTCCCTATTGTAACATGTTGGTTTCAGCAGCTGGATTTCTGTTACTTTCACAGCTGTTATAAAAGGCAAAGAATTCTGCTAAAAGAATAGGGGGCAGAGAATCTAGCATACCACTTCTCCCATATAAGTCTTGAAGACCAGTCCTTCCCTCCCTTCTCCCCACATCAGTACTCATAGATGGGACTGCACAGTCATTGCTTTCACAGCAGGCAGCACAGTCTAGTAAATTTCTCACTTCACAGCTCTAGTGATTTTTGCCCTCCATGATAGTAGGGAGGTAATTAAGCTCAAGCAGGGATCATTATTAGCCACCATTGGGAAAGTGTGTGCAACAGCAGCAAGGCCACAGCTTCCCGCTTCTGCCATTCAGATAGTTCTTCCCTGAGCTGCAAATGGACAACCAGCTTACCCCAGAGATCAACTCCAACCTCATCAGAAAAATCCTGTTGTTTTCCTTTCCTTTCCTTTCAGGGGGATCTTTGTTTTTTTTCTTGGGAGAGTTTAAACATGGTTTATGGAATTATGTATTTACCTGCTTTCAATATACAGTATATACAATTCCAATGATTTATATTAAGGATGGGGAACCTGTGAACTTTCTGGATTTAGCTGGACTCCTTTCTATCACGCCTGGTTGGGGCTGATGGGAGTTGTAGTACAACAATATCGGGGGGGGGGACACAGGTTCTCCACCCATGCTTTATATTAGCTGTAGCCAGACTGTTGATCATTTGTGCAAATTAATGGGAGAGTGAAAACCTGGTGGTAAATCCTTACATGAATTCTCTTAATCACCCTCTGGAATTTACTAGTGAGTTAAATTTTCTATGAGCATTAAAAAAAATGTTTTGCCTTGTTATGTACTAAGCCTGGATCCTAGAATAATAGGCAGGTCCTAGAATGCAACAACTGACTGGCCTGCAGGAGAAGACCAATCAGGCTCCAGGAGGAAGTTAATCAGCCTATTAGGCTGCTAGGATCCTAGAATGCAACAACTGATTGGCCTGCAGGAAAAGACCAATCAGGCTCCAGGAGGGAAGCAGAATCAGCCAATCAGACAGGACTCATTGTGTAAATAATGTATATAAAAGCCTGAGGTTTGGGGGGCAATTCAATCACTGTTTTACAAGCTGCAATAAAGAGCATGAAATCACTGCAGGACTCCAAGTATATGTCATGCCTTTTTATAGTTCTCCATTTTGATCCAATCCCAGTATGTTGTTTCCTGGATTGAACAAAGTAGCAATTCTCCTCTAACTCCTTCCAAACACAACATCTCCCATTCAGTGATCTTTTCCATCAATGAGTAGAATTCTTCTTCTTCTTCTTCTAGAAAAATGGTGAGTGAGATATAGGAGGTAAAATTCCTGCCAAAGGTGATTTTTGATGCAGGTCACCTCTATGGTCAAACTCCATTACTTATGTCCTGCTTTCAAAATGAAATTCAGAGGTGAAAAATGGGCCATGTATGCACAACCCTGCGTATTTACTTAACACCGAAATCACTGATTGGAGAGCGCTGGGGAAATGTTTCACTGTGATTAAAATTTAGCTAGTGCTGTGCATCAAAACAAAAGATGCTCCCCCACCTCTGTATCCTCTCAAGTATTTCCTAGGTCAGCTTCAATTAATTCCTTAGAAAACGAAAACAGGGGTGGTGAGAGGCAGTGTGTTCATGATGGCATTGGTGTGGCTGTGTGTGATCCCGCTTTCAATACTGTTTGTGCCGCCAAAAGGTGCAGGGTGGACATACCCAATCAGTGCATGTCCCATATCTTCCTGCTGAAATCTTGTAACTTTTGATACCACAAACACTCCCCCCTCTCTGTGTGTCCTGTTCTGTCGAGCTATAGCACAAGAGTACCCCTCCGGATGACAACAATGTGTTTACTCTGGAGAAGCATTGCTAACATCAAATAAAGTGGAATGGCGTGTGGACAAAGGCATGCTGAAGAAAACACCTGCCTTAATACCCAGCAGGGTGGAGGGGTCAAAGTTTTTCGACTGCTAGAACACTAGAGGAACCCAGTCTGCCTCTGAGAAAAGGGACTAAAGAGGCGCTGCCATATGCTTCTTTTTTATTTTATCTTTTTACTAGTAATTGTTTATAAATGGTTTCCTGAAAATAACTTTCCCTGGCATTACTCTACCTGAGTTTTCTGTTTCTTCAGCTTTGATGGATATGCTTCAGTTCCGAGCAGTCTAACAGCCCTGACCAGTGCTCCAATGGGCTGTCAATACAAATGGCAGCACACTACCTAGCATTGGCCACTAATTCAGAGTGGAATGACACATTGTACTTGGCATGGGTCCACAGCAGAAAATGACACACCACCCTGTGCTACAGAAGGTAACGTTCCCCATAATGGAAAAGGTCACCTACCCCATGCTATAACATGGTCACCATGTGATATTCCTCACTTAAGTCATTCACTAGCAAGGATGGGGAAATCTCAAGCAAAAGGGGTGCTACAAAATATGGCAGAAAAGACAAGCTTGACTCTGGGATGCCAGTCTGAGTGGCAGCTGTGTGTCAAGTGTCATGGGTAGTTCCACCCTAACATGGTGTACAATCCACCAAGGCTGTGTGCACACTATATCTTTGAATACTCTTTTGAAACATATTCTTTCCCTTGAAGGGTTCTGGGTGCTGCAGTTTACACTTCACAGAGTTGCAATTGCCAGCAGCCCCCAAGAAACTACAGTGCCCAGATATGTACTTCCAATGTGCTTTAAAGTATTAGTGAATACGCAGCCAAAGAAATAGGTTCCCAGTGTATTGTGCCCCAACATCCTATTGTGATGCTGTGAAAGGCACCTAAAAAACACCAGCTGCCTTGCTTATGATGCAGCTCCCCCTGGCTTGCAGGCCAATTAAGTTTACCTAAAGGCACAGCCTGCTGTGCAGAGTGGATGTCCTCCATCAACGGTTTTGTGTAATGTGACTTATAAACCTGAATCCAGCAACATTGAAACCTTTCATTTTGTTAATGTTAAAAGAGTCTAGATAGAAGTGGATGAATTAGGCAGAACTTGCATCTGTGTTTGGAAGTGGGGGTGAAAGGGAGAAATGGGACGCACAAAACATTCTGATATTCAGAGGCAGGTCAATAGGATGCTTCCCTAGCTATTGTCCTATCTGCAGATTCACAATATCACCCTGATGAAGAGTAGCACAAATGCTTGTATCCAGAATTTTAGTGAAATAAAAGGTGGTAAAGTTTGGTTAAGGCTTATGAGCTAAATACACATGACTGAGGGAGCCAGTTCCTAAACTACATCACTCTTTAGAAACAATGATAAAATCAATAGCACTTGTAAAACAAATATAGATATTAGATAACTCCATCATGCGTCTGGACTGGCTTGCTGAAATGGAAGGTTTTGTCAGACAAGTTCAGCCAATGGCCATTAGCTATGATTGCTAAATGGAAGCTTTAAGTGAGGGGTGGGAAACCTTTGGCCCTTTAGATGTTCCCATTCCAGCTCCCACCAGCCCCACCCAGCATGGCCCAATAGTCAGAGATGGTAGGAATCGTAGCCCAACTCCACCCCAGAGGCAGGATACCTCTGAATACCAGCTGGGAGCAAATGGCAAGCAAATGGCAAGGCTGTTTCTGCTTACAAACTTCTCAGGAGTAAGAGGCTGGCTTCTGTGAGGAGCAGGATGCTGAGCTAAATGAACCTTTGCATTCTTTATGCTAGATATGTCTGGAGTGCAATCCCACTGCTGTTGCGGCTGCAACAACAGCACATACCACCACCATTTCCTCAGAGCTGTGCACTGGCATTTTTTCATCATCTTTTTTTACACAGACATCCTTCCCTGCACACATTATCTCCTGGCGTTTTGAAACAGGATGACTCTTCATTTTCCATTCCTTATTAATTTTCCAGACCTGTGCATGGGTGACAGAAATTGATTGCATTTGGAGGTGGGGGGAGGATGAGAGAGCCTTTTATGGAGCTGCTGGGGCATAAGAGGGTGGGAGGAGGCCTGGAAACAGCCTGCAGAGCCAGAGGTAGGAAGAGGGCACAGCAAATTAACCAGAGAAACCCCACAATTGAAGCCAAAGGGTGACACTCTTCTTCTCTCCCTCTTGATCTTAATTTCCTCCCCTTTACATATTGTAACACCAATAATAACAAAAAGAAAGTAGCATCTAAAGAAAGCACAGAAGTGGTATCTTTAAGTTTAAATAATAGCTATTAATGACAAATCTATACTTAAATGTATGATTGTTAATTGGCCTATTAATGTAAGATAATCATTCCTTTTAGAACTATATTATCCATTATATATATGAATGATCTATAATCAATATATAGCGAGCAACCAGCAAAGTATGTGCTTCTGGGGCCATTCCAATGGCAGTGCAAAGTGCTTTACAGCTTGTCTTACATTTAACTTTATGAAAAAGATGCAGGGATGTGTTCTTTAGAGATGGGGAACCTTCAGCTATTGCAGGACTCCAGCTCCCTTCAGCCCCAGTGGGAGTTCAGAGTCTAACAACACCTGGAGGCCAGAGGCTCGCCATCACTATTCTAAACACAACTTGGCAGGTTGGTGGCAGAGTCAGGACTTGAGTTCTGGGCTCCTGTTCCAGAGTAGGAAAATTGGACCTTTAAAATGGGATATAAAAAGGGAATGGTGTGGGGAAAGAGTAACAGTCAATGGGCCAAAAGGGCACATTTCCTAGGAATGTTTACTCTGAAGCAACTCTCACTGCATTCAGTGGAACCCATGCCAAGTAAGGAAACAGGATTGCAGCCCAAGTATTGTACTGATAGCCAGTGGTTTGGAAATCAGGGGATTTGGAGAAGGAGATGTTTGTGTGTGGCTACTGCCAGAGCAGTGAGAAGGGGGGAGTGATGCAAGCATGAAATGCATGTGACCCAGGCATCACTGTGGTGTCATGGGCCCTCATTAATCATTTCCTCCTTAATGAGCCTTTCTGAGCTCCACCTCCCTTAAGTACCAGGAAGGGAGTTTAAATTGAGCTGAAGAATGGGTTGTAAATCATGTTCCGTTTACTATTGAAATATGTGGAGTGGTTGCTGAATCATATTGATGCTCTGTCAATGTATCATATTAATGGTAGCCTGTTGGGCCCAGTCTCACAACAAAGTATGGTGGTGCAAGTGCAAGGCAGCAGGATGCTAATTAATTTCCAAATATTGTGAACATATCCGGAAAATATAAAGGAGACATAGAATCATATAACTGTAGAGTGGAGGGGTGCCTGAGGGTCATCTAGTCCAACCCCCAGCAATGCAGGGATCTCCACTAAAGCACCCATGATAGATGGCCCTCTGATTAAAAACCTCCAAGGAAGGGAAGGAGAATCCACCTTGTTCCAAGGGAGTCCATATTCCACCATCAAAAGGCTCTCCCGATCAGAAAGTTCTTCTTGATATTTAGTCAGAATCTCTTTTCTTGTAGCTTGAAGCCAATGGTTCAGGTCCTGTTTTTTAAGCAAGGTAGTATTAAGGAAGGTAGGAGAAGATATATTGTTTTGATATTATCCCTCCTCACTCACACTAGAGAGTAAACATTCCCTTTGCAACTTATTGGAAGCAAGTTGATGATTCATTAGAATCCTTTGATTAAGCAGTCCAGTTTTGCTTCTCCAGTCTGGATTATTCCTGTTAAGTTTCCCCTTTATTGCCCTCTTAAAATAATAATAACACAACAGTTTTCTTTAAAAGTAAGAATAACGTTTTACTCACATTCAGTTCACAGCAGTAATCTGAAGGCAGGCTTTATCTTATGGTTACAGTAATCTTATGGTTACAGTGTGAGCTACATCTCAGACTTTCTGCTTGCAGGCTCCATCCTAAGAGCCAGGAGAGCGAGAGTCCAAGAGTAAGAGTAAGAGTAAGAATCCAAGAGAAAGATGGTTATCTGGTCAGCTAGGGTTACACCCATTTACCTGGTCACACACAGAGGGAGGAAGCTTCAGAGCACGTATGACAGGAAGTCCTCCCTGTCTGGAGCCACATTGCCCTGTGTGTCAATTCTAGGCAACAGGAAAATGTTGTACTTGACTGCTCTAGTAATAATACATCCCACAGGTCCTACCCTCCAGAGCAGGAGAAAATAAGCCTGCTTCATCTTTCATGGGACAGCCCTTTAGATACTTGAAGACAGCCATCATATCTCCTCTCAGACTCCTCTTTTCCAGACTAAACATGCCCAACTCCCTCAACTGTTCACCATAAGACTTGATTTCCAGACCCTTGATCATCTTGGTCGCCCTTCTCTACACATGTTCTAACTTGTCAATATCCTTCTTAAATTGTGGCACCCAGAATGGACACAGGCATTCACACCTGTCAGGGGTTCAGGGACAGAGGCACAGGGTAGGCAGGAGATGGAGAGCGATGGGGATGAATCCCAGGACAGCGAGGAAGAGGATGACAATGACTCAAGAGATTCCATGAGTCTTTCCAGCGAATCAGAGGATTCCCAGAAGGGGCGCCGGTGGTCAAGCCCAGGGGAGCCCCAAGGGGGACGTGTCAGGAGCAGGGGGCCAGCGGGACATCCCAAAGTGGCAGCTGGGTGTCAGGACCAGCCTCCCCGCCAGAGTGCAGCGAAGGGGGTGGAGGTTTCAGTGTATCAGGGGAAGCGGCTCCGGCAGCAGAGAAGGGAGGGAGGTCGGAGCAAGTCACCCTCCCGGAAGGGGAGGGGAGTAGTGAAGGGAGTAGTGTAGCTGTTAAAAGGAAGGTTAGAGGTTGGGCGCGCGCGCCAAGTTCAAATGTAGAGGCGCGCGGAAGTACAGGGAGCCCGGAGGAGGGGCCAGGTCCCAAAGCCCGCAGGAGGGGGCAAGAGCAGTCTGGGGATTCCGCGTCAGAGGAATCCAGGAGGGGCGAAAGCCCAGTGGGCAGAAAGACCCTGCGGAAAAGGAAAGAAAGAAAGAGGTGGAGCAGCGCAAGCCTCTTAAACTGGTGCAGGGGAGGGACGGATTCAGAGGAGACTTCAGCGGTCTAAGCGTAGCAGACGTAGGGCTGCGCGCCTCGGATGTGAAGCAATCAATGAACTGCAATAAACACTTTTGTATATAAGAAGAGATAGGCGTTGGTCTTTTGTGAGCTGAGACTTGAGGCAGCCCTGACAACACCCATCCTCCAAATATTCTTCAGCATCCTACTTTCCATCTTACCTTTCCTATTCCCTCTGGGAATACTCTATTAAGGGGATTGAAAAAGAAGTCCATACTAAGATCATATTGGCCGGTGACATGATGGTTGAGGGCACCTTGTAACAGTCCTGGTCCTATATTGCCAGGTGAACCTACTGTGAGTTGACCCATTCCATACCTGATGTCTGGTACTGCATTTAGAGTTAGGGTGGGATTCCACTGCAGGGGGGTCCACCTCAAGGCTCAGAGGTTCATGTTTTGATATATTCAAGATTAAAATAGCAAAAAATCATATGAATACTCAGATTATGCAAGGAATAGTTGAAATCCTGTGTGTTTGTGACTGCTTCTGCTGCCCTCCAGTATTGCCACTCCTCAATAGGAGTTTGTGGTTACTGCATGGTGCAGGTAATGGGGGAGGGAGGAGATGGTTTAGATTTAGCATTTCTGGAGGTGGCCTTAAGGGCTTATAGGCAAGATGCAGGATGGGAAAGAAGGATGATCAGGAGGTAAGGCTAAGGTAGCATGCAACCTTTCCTTGCAGAGCTTCTATGCTTAACAATTGTGTGACAGGTAGAAAATCAACAGGTAAAGCTTTATAGCCATAGTGATGCACTGATATGGGCATCATCTGTTGAAGGCACACCTGTGCTACCCCTGGTTTTAGAAGGCTGGAGACTTGAGAGGAAAGGTTTAAAGTTTGGGGATGGACAGTGAGGGTTACCAACCTCTTTGCACCAACCTCTGGCTCTGATTTTATTTGAGGTACAGACCCCAACAGGCCACCTTTCTTATCTCCATGCCCTGAAAAGCTTCCCCTCCTGATTCCTGTATGTAACAGTCTGCTGTTAAAGGCAGGAAATGAGCCAGAGTGCTTGTTTTCTGATCAGCTGGCAGCCCTGCTAGTGGTGGTTGGGGGCTGGGAGGGGAGGTTGGCTGGCTGGCTATGCCAGGCTTATGTTTCCAGTCACCTGTGGGTGAAAATTGCTCTTTCGCAGTCATCTCTCAGTTTTCCTCCCCCGCAGGTGGCCTCCCCAAGGAGGGAGTTTAATTTTCTGGCAAGGAACTTGCGTAGGCTGGAGCAAGCAGGGGAGGAGGAGGGAGACCATCAGCCGGTTATTTATTTGAAAGGGGAGATTCTTCGCCTCTGCTGTGGTGGCTCTGTCTGTAGCTCGCTCTGTTTTTGCTCTGGCACTTCCTACGCAGGCTGCTGTCCAGGGAACAGACATCTGCATTGTGACGCCTCTGCTGTTTTTGACGCCCTCACTCCCTTCCTTCATTGCACACTGCAAATGAATGAGTACTCACCCCCTACCCCACCCTTTTTAATGCCTGCGACAGCAAGCAGAAAACGATGTCTGCAGAAGGACCCTCCGGGAGATAGGCGGGGAAGGTAGGTTGGTCAAGACGCACAGGGAGATGTCATGCTCGTAGGCTGAAGCATTTCAGTACCTTGGACAGAGCTCGGCGCTCTTCATTGGGTGCTCTGTCTAAGGTGCTGAAAAGCTTGTTCCAGCTTGCATCGCCTTCTGCCTTTCCTTGGCTCACTCGGCAAAGAAGCGCGTCACAACCGCAGAATGCACGGAGCTAGCCAATCAGTTAGAGGTGGCAGAAAGTCCAGGTGTGTGTCCTGAACTGCTCCTTTGGCCTTTGGAATTCCTACCCAAAGATATTGGGAATCACGCCTTGCATGATCAAATGCAACCTCCATCCAAGGAAGCTGCTGGAGACACATTAATGAAAGTAATAAAAGGATTGGTCATCACCTTTATGGCTTGCTTATGAGGTATCCAGCTGGCCTCCAGATGAAGCTTGTTTTTGCAATACGGGAGCAGGCCTGATTCCCAATAGCTTGAGGTCACATGAGAGAAGTTTAATTTCTACCTAAGTGGTGTCCTTGAGTGCACCCCTTTAGTTTCTTCCATACAGGGAAAGTCTTACTATTCACGGCAAGGGCAGGAGAAGCAGTGCACTGCAAGTGTGGCTATTTTTTTTCTGTGTAGGAAAGCCATTCCTGGTCTTCAGGTGGTGAGTCAGGAGACCAACTACTGGGTCACAGCCTGAACCAAGGTGGGTTGCAACAGCAACACTGCCACCATAGAGCTATATGAGAGGGAAAGAAAGAAAGAAAGAAAGAAAGAAAGAAAGAAAGAAAGAAAGAAAGAAAGAAAGAAAGAAAGAGGTTCCTAGATGCATGTGTGGGTCTCAGTTCTGAAAAGTAGAAAATTACTAGCCTAGATCTTGCTGATAGGTATTGTATGGGAGGCGCCATGTGTCTCTGGGTGTGGAGACCTATTACATGTCCCACAGTATTTTCAGAATGCAAGTGCTCTATTCAGTGTTATGGGCTCTAGCTACAAAGGAAGTTGCCCTAGACTTAGACCACTGGTCTCTCTGGCTCTGTATTGGCCACACAGACCAAAGCAGCTCTCCAGGATTTCAGAGAGGACATGATCATGTTTGTTGTGAGTGGGGCCACATTTTTAGTCCCACTCCTGATATGGAGTCTCCTTCCAAAAGCAAAGACAAACCTCTGAGAGAACAGGACACCCACACATCCATGTGGCCTGATCATGAGGAGGCCCTACATGATAACAGGAGCTTGTGGATTGGAGCTACTTTTCAAACAACCAAGGGTAATGTGGTCATTTGAGAAAGGAGGCATGATGCTGGGGCAGAGCTAAAAGTACAGCTCCACTCCAATTAGACATGAGCAAATTCTACATGTGAGTAATGCATGAACTGGACTTACATCGCACCATGTCTGCACTAATCCTAAATATCTGCAGTGCAGACATTTAACAATTCCCCAAATTTGGCACCAATTTACGGTGCTCTCTTCATACACACCTGATAATTGTTAGTGTTTCCAGCAGAGATGGTGAGTGTTTGCCAGGAATGGGAAACGATCAGTGCCAAAACATGGGTCCATTGATTTATTTGTGTATGTGTGTTGGGGTAGGGGGGATATCCAGAATTCACTCCAACCTTTCTGTTATGTACTAAGCTTGGATCCTAGAATGCAGGTAGGATCCTAGAATGCAACAACCTGATTGGCCTGTAGGAGCAGCCCAATCAGACCCCAGGAGGAAGTTAAGCAGCCTATTAGGCCTGTAATGGCCTGGGAATCCGATTCAGAGGCTGAACTGGAGGAATCCCAGCCTGCACAGGAGTCCCCGCCTCCAGGGCCGGCTGAACTGGGGCAGGGCCTTGATTCTGAAGCACCTGCACCTGTGCCAGATCCTCAGGAGCAGGCACCAGGTGAATCCACTCTGGCTCCGGAGGTGGATGAGGACTCAGTGCCTACAGGTGAGTCTCCCCCTGGGTCCAGTAACCCTCCAGCCTCTCCTGAGCTGCAGAGGCTCAGGGCAGAGAGGCGGAGGGAACTGGTTTCTCCCAGGAGGAGTGCTCACCTTAAGGCCAGGAGAGGTGGGTCTCCTGGGGGCCGGGACCGCCCCTGGCCTCAGAGAAGATAAAGGCCAGTCAGCCTGGTCCCAGGTTGCGGGAGCAACATTGTTGAAGAGCTGTTTCGGCCAGCACCCAGTCCGGTTCGCCCAGAGTTCCTGTCCTTGCCCGGCTCCTCGCTGTGGACCCCGCTTCACCCGTGGAGGACTGTCTGCTGACCCTTGACTCGGGTCCTGGACCTCGCCCCACGGTAACCTCCCCCCTGGACCAGCACAGGCCAGTAGGATCCTAGAGTGCAACAACTGATTGGCCTGCAGTAGCAGCCCAATCAGGCTCCAGGAGGGAAACAGAATCAACCAATCAGACGGGACTCATTGTGTAAATAATGTATATAAAGCCTGAGGTTTGGGGGGAAATCCATTCACTGTTTTTTGAGCTGCAATAAAGAGCATGAAATCACTACGCGACTTGGTATATTTCACTTTCCTTCTACAGAGTTGGATGCTAAGACAGGCAATTCCAGGTTCCTTGTTTTCCAGGGTCTGTTCCACAAAGCACTGACATTTGCCATTTGCTGAAGTGACTCCTTGTCCTCCAGCTTTTCTGCACAACCTTAATGGATTGCTTTCTTTTGTTCTCCCCCCTCAACCCTCCAAATGGCTTGAATGACAGTCCCTCTGTATCTCAGCCAATACATTCATTTGGTATCTGCTTCCTAGAAGCTTGCAGGTGGATATGGTTTTGTGAGAGAGCCATTCTAAAAGCTAGGCAGAAATTGACCCTTCTGTAGCAGCCCTTTCCCCAATTCCATCTCCTTTTCTGTTGGGCTCAGGCCTGGCTCCTCCTAAAGGGGTAAATAAAATGTTATGAATCAGTGCAATCAAAAAGCTGTGGCTGTTCCCAGGGAAACCAGATGCCTCCAGATACTTGTTTAGCAATTAGAGCCCAACTCAAGCTCCCCGCTCAGTAACTGTGGCGTCAAAGGCAGTTGTGGAGATGAATATTAAGCTGGTCCCAGTGGCTGCTGCTTCTCTCCTTCAATAATACTGCGTTGTTTGATCCATTTGAGGTATTTGTGCATGGAGGCGGTGTTTTGCTGATGAGTATGATAAAACGGTTGTCTGGAGGGCTTGAAATATATGCTGATGCAAGTTTGGGAAGTGACCCCATAGATGGTAAAAGCACTTCTGGTGTGTGCTGTATGTACAACAACTGTTTGTTTGACTGGTCATGGAAGAAGCAAACCACTGTAAGTTTAAGCAAGGCCTTGGGACACTGCTGCTGCTGCCAATGTGAGTGTTGGGGAAGGCCAATTCACACTCACCACCACAGCTCTAAGAGGCTCCAGCGAGGCCTCAGGACGTTGCTGTTGATGCTACGGCTGCAGCAAATGTCGAAAATGGTTTTACATATTTTAAAATGTTTTTAAAGTGTTTTTACTTTGTTGCACTGTGAACAGTGGTTTTTATTTCTATATTTTTATTTTATTTTATTTTATTTTTGTTTGGTGTGGGATAAATGTTGACTTGGGGTGGGGATTAGTTTTATTTTAGTATAATTGTTTTTGGCTTTGTTTTTACTTTTACTATTTTGTTAGGCTACTGTATAGTTTGTATTTTGCTTTTTAAAGGGAAAGGGTCAGGGCTGCCTGGGAGTGGGCTTCAGCCAACAGAATGGCTGGGGCAGGTTCCACAGAGGCAGAAGCACCAGGACACCCGATCTCAGTGATCACGGGCAGGAAGAGGAGCTATGCTAAGACCAGACCATGTCATTACCGAGGAGGCAGGTTTAGTTGTTGTCTAAGGACTATCCCTGCCTCCAGGTCTGGTCCTGACCAGAAGGATACTGGAATCAGCAAGGGAAACCCACATGACCTGAAAGTGTTGCTGTGCAATGCCAGGTCAATGATGAATAAGACCACTGCCATCCAAGACCTGATTATGGATGAAGAATTTGACCTGGCATGTGTGACAGAGACCTGGTTTGATGAAGCAGATGGGCCTGTCCTTGCTGCTGCTTGTCCACCAGGTTTCTCTTACGCACAGCAACCCAGGTCATGTGGGCGGGGAGAGGGGGGGTTGCAGTGATTTTTAGGAAGTCACTAGTTTGCACCAGGCATCCTATTGGGAAGAACCAGTTTTCTGAGTGCATGTTCTGGAAGTTGGGCAATAGGGGCAGTACAGGATTCCTTTTGGTGTACTGACCTCCTCGCTGCACCAAGGATTCCCTGCCCGAGGTGCTTCAGGTCATGGCAGATTGATTGTCCTAGGGGATTTTAACATCCATGCCGACACGACCTTACAAGGGGCCACTCGGGACTTCGTGGAAAGCATGGCCTCCATGGGACTGTCCCTGAATAAGTTTGGCCCAACTCATAGCCGCGGACATGCCTTAGACTTGGTGTTCACCTCTATGGATGTTGGTGATCTGACATTAAGTAAAAGTGAAACAAAAGAAGTGCCATGGTCAGATCACTTCCTGGTGCAACTGGACTTCTCCGCGACCCTTCCCCTCTGCAGGGAGGTGGGACCGATTTGGATGGTCTGCCCCCGCTGCTTAATGGATCCAAATGGTTTCCAGAGAGTGGTAGGGGATTTTTTATCCCATGTTGATGGCCTTTCAGTGAATCAGCTGATTCCCTGGTGGCCCGCTGGAATGCAAAGTTAACCAGGGTTTTTGACTGTCTGGCTCCGAAGCGCCCTCTCCGATTGCATGGAGCCCGGACAGCCCCATGGTTTTCTTCGGAGCTGAGGGCGAGGAAACAATTGCTGAGACGGCTAGAATGCCGGCGGGAAACTCACTCACGGGTTAGTGCTCAACGTCGAGCCTACCAAGTGGTGATGGCAATGGCGAAGAGGACCTTCTTTGCCACCTCTATTGCATCTTCAGAAAACAGCAGCAGGAGACTCTTTGAGGTGGTTCACAATCTATTGGAACCACCTGCACCACCTGGACCCCAAGATCTCTTGCAATGCTTTTGCAAAGTTTTTTGCAGATAAAGTCGCTCAGATTCAGAAAGAGGTAGACTCCACCATGGGAGCAGGGCCGGGGCAGGAGTGTGCTAGAGTCCTGTCTAGTCATATTATATGGGATCAATTTCAGTCTGTTACATCTGAGGATGTGGACAGGCTGCTTGGACGAGTGAAACCAACCACCTGTCTTCTTGAGCCTTGTCCATCCTTGTCCATAAAAGCAAGCCGGGAAGGGCTGGGTGATGGGTTCTGTGGGGTGGTGAATGCTTTCCTATGTGAGGGAGCCTTCTCAGATCCGCTGAAAGAGGTGGTCATTAAACCGCTTCTTAAAAAACATCTTTAGACCCAGCCAATATGGCTAACTATCACCCAGTCTCAAATCTTCCATTCTTGGGCAAGGTGATTGAGCGCGTGGTTGCTGAGCAACTCCAAGCATGCCTGGAGGATGCGGACCATTTGGATCCCTTCCAATCGGGAATCAGGCCTCATCATGGGACTGAAACTGCCTTGGTCACACTGGTCGATGATCTCCGGCGGGCTAGGGACAAAGGTGAGAGCTGTTTCCTAGTTCTGCTGGATCTCTCAGCGGCTTTTGACACCATTGACCATAACATCCTTCTGGACCGTCTAGAGGGGCTGGGAGCACTGTTATACAGTGGTTTCGCTCCTTCCTCCTGGGCCGTGTTCAGAAAGTGGTGGTGGGGGATGAGTGTTCAGACCCCTGGGTCCTCACTTGTGGGGTGCCTCAGGGTTCCGTCCTCTCCCCCATGCTTTTTAATATCTATATGAAGCCGCTGGGAGAGATCACCAGGGGGTTTGGGCTGGGTGTTCATCAGTATGCAGATGATACCCAGCTCTACCTCTCTTTCAAATCAGAACCAGTGAAGGCGGTGAAGGTCCTGTGTGAGTGCCTGGAGGTGGCTGGAGGATGGATGGCGGCTAACAGATTGAGGTTGAATCCTGACAAGACAGAAGTACTGTTTCTGGGGGACAGGGGGCGGGCGGGTGTGTGGGACTCCCTGGTCCTGAATGGGGTAACTGTGCCCCTGAAGGTGCGCAGCCTGGGAGTCATTTTGGAATCACAGCTGTCCATGGAGGCACAGGTTAATTCTGTGCCCTGGGCAGCTGTCTACCAGCTCCACCTGGTACGCAGGCTGAGACCCTACCTGCCCGCAGACTGTCTCACCAGAGTGGTGCATGCTCTAGTTATCTCCCTCTTGGACTACTGCAATGCGCTCTACGTGGGGCTACCTTTGAAGGTGACCCGGAAACTGCAATTAATCCAGAATGCAGCAGCTAGACTGGTGACTGGGAGTGGCTGCCTGGACTACATAACACCGGTCCTGAGAGATCTGCATTGGCTCCCAATACGTTTCCGAGCACAATTCAAAGTGTTGGTGCTGACCTTTAAAGCCCTAAATGGCCTCAGTCCTGTATACCTGAAGGAGCGTCTCCACCCATCATTCAGCCCGGACACTGAAATCCAGCGCCAAGGGCCTTCTGGCAGTTCCCTGATTGCGAGAAGTGAGGTTACAGGGAACCAGACAGAGGGCCTTCTCGGTAGTGGCGCCCACCCCGTGGAACGCCCTCCCTTCAGATGTGAGAGAAATAAGCAGCTATCTCACCTTTAAAAGACATCTGAAGGCAGCCCTGTTTAGGGAAATTTTTAATTTTTGACGTTTTATCATGTTTTTAATATTCTGTTGAGAGCCGCCCAGAGTGGCTGGGGAAACCCAGCCAGATGGGTGGGCTATAAACAAATTATTATTATTATTATTATTATTATTATTATTATTATTATTAATAATAATAATATAATCATCATGAAAGTAGGCTTGTGAATTTTACTTGATTTTACTATTTTATCTCTTGTAAACCACTTTGAGGTTTTTACAATCAATCAGTGTATAACTTTTATGAAATAAATAAATGATTTCCCCTTTAAAAGATATTTTTTGTTGTTTGTAATGATTTGTGTTTGAATTTCTACCACATACTAGAAATCCAACAAAATACACCACAGAAACCATTAATGGGATTATTTTTTCACCCATTGGATGAAGGTGAAAGGGGTGTGAAGAATATGGTAAGTGAATGAATATGGTTGAATGGGAAAGGAAAAGGTGTGGCCCAAATAAGAGAAGGTAGAGCAAAGAGTTTGGGGCTCAAGTGGATGCAAGAGACACTGGAGCTGCCTCTGTTTAAACCACAAAAAGAAAGGGGCAAAATCATCCAGGAAATATCCAGCTCATAAGGGTAGGCTCATACAGGCATATCCGCTGAATATACCCCCTGTCCTCAAAAGCACAGAAGACTGGTGCTTGCTGGTCCACCTGGATCCATTTTAACTTAAACCTATATAATTTAGTACCATTGAGAACAACCAGCACATTGAAATGCATCCAACAAACATCTATTGAATTATTTTTGCACCAGCATTCTGGTGGTGCTTTGTAAACTCAATTTTTGTTCTAGTGGGAATTATGTATGGGCAATTTCATCCATATCAACTTCCAGTTGACAGGCATGTACTTTATCATTCTTGAGAAAACAGATTTGTGCTTTGTAAATCTAAACTTGACTTTCTGGTAGTCATGCAGCAATAATTTGAAACACTTCTGTGTTTCATATAAGAGTTTCAATTGATGTTTTATGGAAAACTTTTGGCATTGTGGTGCTGAATACACCTCACTCAGGAAAGAGTTGCTACTTTGTGGTAGAGTACATTCTTTGCATGTAGATGACCCTGGGTGCAATGGCCAGTTTCTCCAAGTAGACCTGGACTGTCTAAAATCCTGGAGAGCCACTGCCAGGCAATGGAGCTAAATGAATCAGCTCCCAGCATGTGCAAGAGGGAATGCCAACTCAACACACCACACAAGGCATCACAGTCCATAATTTACCAATGTACAAAAAGCATGTTATATGTGCAGGGACCCACTTGACCGTATGGCTATGCATCATGAGCCAATACTTGGCTTGCAAAGCATGTGTGCTACCACGGAGCTACAGTCGTTCTCCACACATCCACTGGATTCTAGAGAATATGCATACATTTGCCCTTTCATTCACTAGAGACTAAACATTCTGTTCCATGTCACCCCAATCTCTGAGCAATGTAGGATTTCCGGAGTTCCAGGAGCTTACCAGGGGTTTGTGTTTCCTTTGGAATGAGGTACAGCAGAGGCTGTGGTTTCCTTATGACACATAGTTAATTACACATATATACAACCTGAGCCTATACTGGAGGGGTTCACAGCATTCGCACCGCAAGAGGGTCTTGCTTCTCCCACAGCCACAGCATTGGATTTCAGCAGAAATCAGGCATGGCTCTGACTTTCTGCCTTCCCAGCCTGCAGCCTTGCTTCCAGCTTCCACCTCACATAACTCCACTCTCCACCCTGAATTTTGTCTTTCTAACTACCAGTGAGTTGAGGGAGAGAAGCCCACCCATTTGTTTTCTGGCACAGATCTACTTCCTTTGTTACCTTAACATTCCTTTTGTTACCTCACCATTACCTCACCAGGAAGCCAGCCTAGCTATTTCAGGAATTTGAACCCTTGCTTAGATTTTAACACATGCTGGATCCAGGGATTAGAAGGGTCTCGGCATATAACCTGCCCTCCCCATCTCATAACAATACCGATATTCCTTAGATTCTTTCTGGAGAATATCATCTCTTTCCTTTCAAAGGCAAGTAGTTCCCAACCTTTTCAGACCCAGGGCCCACCTTTACCCCTGGACCACAATAGGATCCCTTTTTAATTATTTATGTAGCTGACCGTCTGTATTTGTTTTGCTCCTCTCTTTGCTGCCACATTGTTGTTGCTGTTCTTTGGTCCTTCTCTTAAAAATACCACCATAAACAACAGCTACCAAAAAAATTGTGTTAGTGATACAGCACAACCCACCTTAGAAAAGGATGGGTGATGCAGTTGTGGATCAAGACTGACCAAATGAAAGCAATTACCTATAGTTCTGTTCCTACATGGAAGAAGAGAGTCTGTACCAACAATGATGTTCAGGTGTTGGGGTTGGGAAATGACAGGACGTGACTGTGGTTGCCTCCAGACTGTCAGAATTTTGTGGGAGGCCAGATAATCCCCCTATCAGGGAGACTCAGAGGCCACCAGTTGCTAATCCTACCATGGATGCTTCCCGTGTCTTGCTTTGCAGCTTTAGATGCCTCGTGTCTTTCTTTTTAGGACTTAGCCACCCAAGGTAAATGTCACACCGGATATATATAATATGTGCAAAAACTCTTCCTCCCTCTCTTTCTTTCTCTCTCCATCCCACACTTCCTTGATGGCAAATATTGGCTCGAAAGTTTTTGGCTTCTAATGTGATCAATGAGACAAGCACTCTGGAAGGAGGCATTGCAGGGATGTTGCTATAGAAACCACCAAAGGAGGAAGATAAAACAGGGACACTTTTTCTTTTCAGCAGGTAGTGATTCAGCAGAGCCGTGCTCCAGGCAGCTCTGGGAGTGACATACAGACGTTTCTTTTCTGCAGTAGGTCATGGTTTCAGGAAGCAAGAAGGGAAGTGTTTTACTCTGTGCTGATTCCTTTCCTGTTTGTAATGGTGTGGTAGAATATGCAAGGCAGGACTTCCCTGCTTGATGGTCATGTGCATTTAAATGCTCTATGTGCTATGTGGTGTGTCATACAGCATATGCACACACTAAAGAGGAAATTCTCCACTAACAGACACTGAGTTCTGCAACCTGTGTAAATCATGAATGCTATCACTATTTCTCTTGTTTTGGATAGTTATGGGGGCTAGGTGGGATATTGAAGCCCCACTTCTATCAATGGAGATCTATTTCAGCCAACCCTCCTCTGTCTTCTGAAATTTCAGCAGCTCTAGTGAAGCTTGCTCTTTCATTTTTTAAAAAGAGGTTTTTAGAGATAAAGTTTAGATCTAAAAAAACCCAAACCAAACTGCAGCCAGTATAAAATTATGTGGATTTCTGTGCTAAAGGCTTGCTAGGAAAGAGGGAGGAAAGTGGAGAGAGCTCCCCGCCCATAGAGCAGCCCCCCTCACCCTTCTGCATGAACCGTCCTGGGTATGTCACCTGGTTAAAAAGAGTGATGCCCATTGCAGGTGCTCATTGCTTGCCTGGAATCAGGAGATTTTGCTGTGCTCCAAAGCAAGAGTGATCAAATGCTTCAACTGCCCCCAATGCAGAAATGGGATAGAGTGATTTACTGTCACCAGAGGCTAGCTAGAAGCAGACAAAACTCAGTGCAGTGGATCAGTCATGCAGCAACACTCTGAGCAACCTCTTCTGAGCCTTCTGTGCCTTCAGTTACTTTGGGGTTCACTTGGAGGAGAAGCATAATGTTACAAATCTAGGGTAGCAAAGATTTGGGGCACAAGGGCACCCATAAATACTAGAGTTGGTGAATGTTTGAAATTAATAAATGGCAGAATTTAGATAATATTTGGAATGTTGGAGGGAAGGTGCCAGGCCAGTGAAAAATACAGGCTAAGCTTGGAAAGGCTACAGAGAGGCAACAGGGTGCTCCCTTGCATCTGCCACTGTTGCTGCTGCCGCAGCTCAGGACAAGGGCTGACTCCACTGGTGGAGGAAATAGGAATATTCCAGGATCAAATCAGAAGCATGGATGGCTTTTGTAATTCCAGGACCGTCCCTGGAAAATCGGGACACTTGGAGGGCATGGAAGTAAAGAGCCCTCATTTAGTTCAGTGGGGTTTCCATTGCTTGGGGGATGTTGGAGGATATGGGATAGAGGTCATTAAGAATGACTAAAGGTGCCAGAAGCAAGTCATTAACCCAGGGCAGAGGCGGGAGTTCCCATGGTTATCATGGGTGGAGAAAGGTTTAGGATTTCAGTTTCCATGGCTAGGAAAACAGGGGAGAGGCAGGCTGTGCTCACAGGAAAAATGTTTCATTTCACAAGGCTTGGTTTGTTTTTTTCTGGCAAGGGTCTTTGGGATGGAGCCAGAACTCCAGGCAGAGGCCATGTGGGGCAGAACCATATTGGAGGCTGAGACAGAGCCATGGAGATGATGGCAAGCAGGATGCCGTGGACCCCACTGCTGCACTGCTGTTGGGGCAAGCCTCTCTTGAGATGGAACCCTCTCCAAAGTTAGACCCAGGTGTCAATATGTGTACAATAAACTACATTTCTTAAAGACACTAGTCTCTGCTGTGCCTTGACTTCTCAACAGAAACACAACTCTGCATGAGCGCCTGGAACCCTTGGAATCTTGTGTAGCCACTCAGCAGAAATTGTGGTGGTGTGTAACAATAATTATCCAATCCCTTTCTCATAGATTGTTTGCTCATGGCTCATACATTGGGAAATTAACGCCATAAGAGAGGAATGCAAGAGAAAAGTTATTTAGGAAGGAAATGGTGAGCAAGGCAGATCCAAAGACAGTATCTGAAAAGACTGCAGACTGCAGAATTAGGCAGAAAGCTGGGCATTAGAGCTCTGAGGTCAGCTTGGAGTGTGCTTAGCTCCTCTCTGAGTGTGTGTCAGCTGCTTTCCCTCTCCCATGAGCAAAGCCAGGAGGATTCAGTTGTGCACTCCAGACAATCCTCTGTGGCCCTCTGAGGTTGGGATCAGCTGCCATCTGTGCCATCAGCATCTTGGCAAAAGTTCAAGTCATTTCTTTTAATTGCACATGAGTATCAGAAGTGCTCCATCCCCATCAAAAAGCAAGCTCTTCATTTTTCAGATGACATATTATTCAGAGTATGCAAGAAAACTCAGCTTGATAAAATAGGCGGGCTAGGAGGAAAACCCAAGCAGCTGCCATCTGGCTACAATTCTTCTCTGGTTGTTCTTCATTTATTATTGGCATGGCATCTTGACTATGCGCTACAAAAGCTAATGCCATTGCCATCATCAAAGCATCTAAAAGTTCACTACAGCTGCCACCCTAAAGGCACTTCTGGGGAGAGTAACTTAATGGGGCATGTCTGAGAAGACGTGTATAGGACTGGGTGACAGAGAGAAGGCAGAACTACTCAACACCTACTTTGCCTCTGTCTTCACCCAATAGGAAAGCGATGCCCGACTGGGTGATAACAGAATAAATGACGAAAGGAGGGAGCTGCAGCCCAAGATAGCAAAAAAGGTAGTAAGGAACCCCTAACTAGTTTAAATAAATTCAGATTTCCAGGACCCGTTGAACTGCATCCAAGGGTACTAAAGGAGCTTGCGGATGTAATCTCAGAGCCTTTGTCTATGATCTTTGAGAATTATTGGAGAACGGGTGAGGTTCCTGCAGACTGGAGGTGAACAAATGGTGTCCTCATCTTCAAAAGGTGGGGGGGGGGGAGAAGACCAGGGTAACTACTGACCGGTGAGCTTGACATCAATACCAGGAAAGGTCCTAGAAAAGATAATTCAACAATTGAACTTAGCACTTAGAAAAGGATGCCGTGATTACCAAGACCCAACATAGGTTTCTCAAAAATAGGCCATGTCAGGCAAATCTCATTTCTTTTTTTGATGGAGTTACAAGCTTGATGAATCAGGGGAATGCTGTGGACATAGTGTATCTTGATTTCAGTAAGGCTTTTGAGAAACTAGCCCATTATATTCTTGCGAGAAAGTAAAATGTGGGTTGAAAGAGATAACTGTTAGGTGGATTTGTGGCTGGTTGACTGACTGAATGCAAAGAATACTCATTGATGGTTCCTCATCATCCAGGGAAAAAGTGACAAGTGGGGTGCCAGAGGGTTCTGTCCTTGGCCCGTTGTTGTTCAATGTCTTCATAAATGACTTGGATGAAGGAATTGAGAGGATGCTCATCAAATTTTGCAGATGACACCAAACTGGGAGGGGTAGCTAATGCCTCAGAAAACAGAATCAGAGTTCAAGATGACCTTAACAGATTGGAGAACTGGTCGCAAGCTAACAAAATGAATTTCATTAGGGACAAATGTAATATTCTGCACTTAGGCAGGAAGAACCAGATGCACAAATCTAAGATGGGAGACAACTGGCTTACTAGCAGTACATGTGAAAAGGATCTAGGGGTCTTGGTGGAGCACAAGCTTAGCATGAGTCAACAGTGTGATGCAGCAGCAAAAAAAAGCTAATGCTATTTTAGGCTGCATCAACAGAAGTCTAGCATCTGGATCAAGGGAACTAATAGTCTCCCTCTGTTCTGCCTTGGTCAAACCACAGGAGCACTGGAGGCCCCTAGTAAGTCATTTGGAGCTTTCTGAAAGGAAAACTTTGGAAAATCAAGATTAGTTTTGTGATCCTCACTCTTCCCCCCACCCCCACATGGTAGGATGTTCCAGAAGGAACATTTTAGAGAGCCAGTTTTCCCACAAAGAACAGAAGGCTGGAGATTGATGGTGTTTTGCATTATCTGTTTCTTCAGCATCCAGACATACAGTGTGAGTCTGAATAGCAGCCTGCCTTGGGAGCCTCCCTCCCATCCCAGTGTCATCTTACCAGCCAGCTGCAAAGCTGCATTCAAACTCTTTTGTTTAGCTGTCAGGAGTGGGCCCAGTTGTGAGAGACCACCAACTATCAAAGGCCGTTGAGCCATCTTTCAAATCAAACTGTACCAAAGTCTTCTCCGAAGAAGGGCATTCTGCACGCCAAAAAGAGGGTGTGAGCTACAGTATATACATCAGTTTGAGGGACTTCCGGGTTGGCGCCATCGGTAATGGCGGATTCCCTCTGACTTTCTGAGGGACCAGCTCCGCGGGATCAGGTCTGCACCGCTGCGGCGAAGCGGGAACCCTTTAAAAATCACAGGCGGGTGAAGCCTGTGAACGTGGGACTCGGCGGGCACCTTTTGCGCCCCCCCCAATCTGCGAAGGAACCCATTTATGGGCTCCGGAGCGAAACGGGGTGAGCGGCGCGGTGCTGAGAGTCGACTGCTTCTTCCGCGGAGTGAAGCCGCACAGCCGTTATTGGAGAGCACTGACTTTTTCCTGGGACAATTCGAATTCAAAAGCAACTACCCGTGAGTAGGAAAAAATTGGATTTAAAGGGAGAAAACAATTAATTCGGCACCGAAGCGGGGAGGCATAAACAGGAAGTCCGCCTTCCGTTTCTTGTAAACAGATCAAAGCAAAGAGACTGTAAGCGGAAACTTTGAAAGATGCTTGAAAAAGGACGCAAATCCTAACATCAGAAAAGCGATCTCCCCTCCGGATTGCAGGAGAGGAGGGGGGAAAGGTTTGAACTGTATTTATCTGCAAAAAAAAGAGAGGAAAGGAAGCTAAAATCCACCGCTTAGAACCTGGGAACGGATTGCCTTAGGACAAGGAATGCCGTTCTGTAAAGGAATTGCTGGACTAACAAACTGAATTGGAATACAAAAGAGGGAGGTATGAGGAGGTCCGGGAAACAAGTAAATGTAAAAGTAGTGATGAAAAGAGGGAATTGTTTTTAACTGTTTTTTCTTTTTTCTTTTTATTCTTGAATTTTTCTTTTTTTTGTTGATGTGATTCTTTCTTTGTGAAACTTTAATAAATATCATTTAAAAAAAAAAGGAATGCTGTTCTGTGAAAAGCACTATTGGTAAATAGAGTATTTTTGACAGCTAACTCTGCAAGAGAGATACAGTGTTTCTGGACTTCTCCTGGTTTTAAAGTAACTGATTAAGTGCAATTGAAACTGTTGTCTTTTTGAGAATTGGGGGATTTATAAAGATTATTTTCTTCTTAAAGTTACAAGCTTTGACTGTTACTGTGTCCCCTAGAGGAGGTTTGACATTGCTACAATAACAACTGGGCTAGGGGAATTTTCCATTTCAAAACAAATTCCAGCCGTGGGACTGACCTTGGACTTTTATTAGAGTGTTATGGCAGATGGAAGAGGAAAGTTAGAGATTCAGGAAAAAACTACCAGGTCTGGCAGATCCTTTCGTACAGATACTGGGTCGCAGCGAAGAGCTTCAACATCTGGTCCTTCTGGACCATCTGGATTATCAGGGGCTGCACCCCTACAAGTTAAACCAAAAGGAATGTCGTCTGAAGACGTTTTAGCTTTGGCACTAGGAAAAATTAATGAATCTTTGGAAAATTTAAGTAAACAAGTAGCTGAAACAAATAAACAAGTAGCCGAAGCATCAGTTAAAATTGACCAAAATACTACAAGTATTAATAATTTGGGACAGAAGGTGAACACCAATACAGAGACTATTGAGAAATTGTTACAGGAATCTGCTTTGACCCGAAAGAGAGCTGAAGAAGCAAAGGACATAGCAACGGCTACTGAAGAGAAGATACCACCGATATATAGGCAACTTGAGGACCACGGGTTGACGTTGTCTATTATTGAATTGAAGGAGAAACAAACGAATTTGAGAATCAGGGCTGTACCTGAACTTGAGAAAGATAATTTGATTGACTTTCTTACGCAGGAATTTGCAGACTTCTGGCAACAGGATTTGGGGAAGGAAGAATTTAAGATAGTGAACGCATTCAGGCTTGGAAGAGGAGGAAAGAAGAACAAGGTGAGAGACTGTTTGATTACCCTTTGAACAAAAGAGGAGAGAGACAAAATCTTGAATCTGCATTTCCGAAAGACTTTGGAAATACATGAGTCAAGTGTGGAGATATTTAAGGACATTCCAAAACATCTTTTGGATTACAAAGATTTGGTTGCCCTGTTGAGAAGCAATAGAATCATCTTTAGGTGGGAATTTCCCCAAGGCCTGTCTTTTAAATATAAAGGAAGAAAGATAAAAATAAGATCAGTCGTTGACAAAGATAGATTCTTGAAAGACCATGGAGAAGACTTACAGAAAGAAGTGGAATCTGGAGAAGAGCCAAAAGCACTGGAAAGAGGAATATTAGATATAGCAAATGGCCGAAATATTGGGAAATGACTCCGGGGTCAGCGCCATCGTTAATGGCGGATTCCCTCTGATTCTCGGAGGGACCAGCTCCGCTGGATCGGGTCTTACCGCTGCGGCAAAGCGGGGACCCTTTAGAAATCACAGGCGGGGGAAGCCTGTGAACGTGGGGACTCGGCGGGCACCATTTGCGCCCCCCCAAGCTGCGAAGGGACCCTTTTAAGGGCACCGGAGCGGGGCGGGGTGAGCGGCGCGGTGCTGAGAGTCGACTGCTTCTTCCGCGGAGTGAAGCCGCACAGCCGTTATCGGAGAGCGCTGACTTTTTCCTGGGATAATTGGATTTTGAAAGCAACTACCCGT